GGGGGGGGGGGGGGGGGGGGGGGGGGGGGGGGGGGGGAGGAGACGTTTCCACTGCAAACTGCAGTGTTTATAAATAATGTGCCAACAAAAATAGAGTGGCCTGACTAAGGAGGCCTTTTAGTCTTTTGAATAATTTAGCTAATTAATCCGAGGCCCAGGTTGCAACGGGCACTTTGGTTGCTTGCTCTTCATCCAGGAGCCTCCTGTCTCCTGGCTTCTTCCTGCCGGCCCTCACAAGGCCCAGCCCCACCTAGACTGGGGCAGCTGCGGCGGGGGGGGGGGGGGGGGTTTGCAGGCACAAGGCTAGGTGGGATCCATCCATGTAAAGTGAGGATGCCCTGTCCACCCAGGGCCTGAACCCATTTGGGCATTTGGAGCAAGGTGGCCAGGAGGGCTTCTCTCCTGCTCTCCCCCCCTCTCCCCGGGCAGAGGAGTTTGGAGTAGGAGAGGGCCTGGGGGCAGGAGGGCTAGGCCCCACTTGGGAGGGGGGCCCAGGCGGGCCCTTTGTGGCCCTGCTGATGCACTCCTCCTCCTCCATGGCCTCCACAGAGCGGCCGCAAATCCGTGAAGTCCGTGCTGTGGGTGTCGGCCGATGGGCTGCGCGTGGTGGACGACAAGACCAAGGTAGGCACCTGGCGGTGGGGGAGGGCAACGTGCCAGTCCGAGGCTGCCCCACCTCCAGTGCCCAGAAATGGCTGGCTCCGATTGGAGGGGGGTGGCAGGAGGCAAGGCTCCCCCCTTGAGCCAAAGCCAAGCGGTTGCTTGGGGCGGGGGGGGCGGGGGGGGCTCCTTCCTGATCCGGGGCCAAGCTACAATGATGAAAGTGCCCAGACCATGTGCAGACTGCTTCCAACCCGACAAGGCAGGGAGGGGGCAAAGGTCCCTCTTACAGTGTGGTGGGGCTGTGGTTGTCCTTCCCCCACCAGGACCTGATCGTGGACCAGACCATCGAGAAGGTCTCCTTCTGTGCCCCCGATCGCAATTTCGACAAGGCTTTTTCCTACATTTGCCGGGACGGCACCACCCGGCGCTGGATCTGCCATGGCTTCCTGGCCCTGAAGGACTCGGTGAGTGCTGGGTGTCCCCCCGCCCCCGGCACAAGGGAGGGACGCCCCCCACCTGGCAGAGCTTCTCCCCCCCAGCCCTCTGTCCGGGGAGGGAGGGATCCTGAGGAGAAGCTGCCCCTCGCCTGGTGGGTGGCCAGGGTACCCTGCAAGCCCCTGGTGGCCCTGGGAAGGTCTGGCAGGTTTCCGGGCTCTTTTGGGAGGCTGACCTGTCAGTCAACGAGGGAAAGGGAGGCAGCCTGTCCAACCCTGGGGCCACCCTCTCTGTCCCTCTCTGGCGCTTCGGCCACCTTTCCAGACCCAGGGAGGGAACGGCGTGCCCTGTTTGCCAGATTCTGCCCCCCAGCAGAGCCCCACCTTCACTCGCTTTGCCCCTCTGTGCCAGGGAGAGCGCCTGAGTCACGCCGTGGGCTGCGCCTTTGCCGCCTGCCTGGAGCGCAAGCAGAAGCGCGAGAAGGAATGTGGGGTGACGGCCTCCTTCGATGCCAGCCGCACCAGCTTTGCCCGGGAGGGCTCCTTCCGACTGCCTGGACCACCGGCCCACACCACCCGCCCCTCTGGAGCACGCCCCCCCCAGGATAGGAAAAAAGGTAGGGGGCACCGGGCCATTTGCGTGAGCTGCCACCCTGGGCTGCAAGCCTTGTGCTGGGGCTGCCCCGCTGAAAGGTTTGGAAAGACAGCTGGCTGTGGAGGATGGGTCTCTGTCCAGAGAGAAGTGGGGACTACTTCTGGGGGGGGAGCCAGTCTGACTCTCCTGTTCTACTGGCCCCCTCGGATGGGGTGGGGGGAGGAAGCTGCTCTCTTGTGTTCCCTGAACTCTTCACTCTCTCTGTGCCGGGAACAAGCCGGGATCAACCTGTATTTTTAAGGGTTGGCATGATGTCTTTGCAAGGAGGGGGAGAGAACCCATTCCAAGAGACTCTGCACCCTGACCCCCCCCCCCCCCCCCCACCCTGGGCCCCCCCCCCGGGGGGACAGGGGGGGGGCTGGGCCGGGCTGGGGGGGGCTTTGGGGGAGGGGCACCAGCAGAGCCCCAGTTTCTCTCCTCTCTTGCAGTGGAAGCAGCGGCCGCCCCCTTGGCCCCGGCCCCAGCCCCCACCCAGCCCGGCAGCGCCTCCCCGCCCCAGGGGGCCGCTTCCCCGGAGGAGGAGGAGGAGGAGGAGGAGGAGAAGGCGGAGGCTGGGGGGGCGCACGCCATCCCACGCCGCCACGCCCCCCTGGAGCAGCTGGTGCGGCAAGGCTCCTTCCGAGGGTTCCCCACCCTGAGCCAGAACTCCCCCTTCAAGAGGCAGCTCTCCCTCCGCCTCAACGAGCTGCCTTCCACCCTGCAGCGCAAGGGCCGCTCCGAGAGCAGCAGCGGGGGCGCAGGTGAGGGGCGGGCAGGGGACGCCCAGAGAGGGAGGCCAGAGGGAAGAAAAGCAGGGGAGGCCCCGAGCCACCAGATGCACTGAAGGCTGGACTCTTCCCTCCCTTCTGCCAGAGGCCGAGGCAGCTCCCAGCAGGGACTCGGACAGCATCTCGGCTCTCTGCACCCAGATTGATGCTTCACTCGCCCAGCCGGCTGGAGAGCCCCCCGCAGCCCTGGTGCCAGCGGAAGGGGGCAGCGCAGGTACGGCCTGAAGGCCCCCTTCCCCTGGGCTGGTGGGGGCAGCTTGCGAGGGCCACTCTTTGACATTTGCCTTGCCCCCTTCTCAGGACCCCCTTCCTCATGGAACGACCCCCAGGCCCAGCCCCTGTTCCAGCCGGGACACAAGAGGACCCCCTCGGAGGCAGAGCGCTGGCTGGAAGAGGTTGCCAAGGCTGCCAAGGCTCAACAGCACCAGCAAGGGCCCCTGGCCGCCCCCCCGCCTCTGCCCAGCTTTCCTCTAGGCTACGGGGCAGCCCCCCTCCCCCCAGGCCTCTTTGCGTCTCCCCACCTGCCCCCCACCTTTGTGCCTGTGGGCACTGCCTACGTACCTGCCTTGCCCTTCCCTGCCCTGCCCAGCGTGCCCGTGGTGGGCATCACGCCCTCCCAAATGGTGACCAATGCCTTCTGCTCCGCCACACAGGCCCCCATTACAAGTTTGGGGCTCAAGGCCAGCCCCTTCCCTCAGGCCCTCCTGGACCCCCCTCGGCTCAGAGCCAATGGGACTGCCTGGCCCTCCGAGCAAAGCCCCCCAGGCATTTCTGCCTCCCACCCTGAGCCCCCGGACCCCTTTGAAACCCAGTGGGCTGCCCTAGAGTCCAAGGCTACCACTGCTGCCCCCAACCCCTTTTCTGGCGACCGGCAGAAAACCTTGGAAATTGAATTGTGAGCCTGATTTTTAAGGTTCCCCCTTAGCACCCCACCTGGCTAGGCCAGATTGTCTAAACCTTGAGTGGGGAGAGCTGGCTGGGAGCAGCGCTTCGAAAGGCGGCCAGTGGGGATCGGGGGAGCTGCCCCCAAGTGATAGGGGAGCCCCACAGGCACTGCTGGTCTGGCCAGATCACGGCTGGGAAGCCAGTTCCCCTCCTGCCCAGGCCGAGAGTCAGTGGCCAGTTGGAAACCAGGGTAAGCGAGAGGCCTTCTGGGCCGGCCCCAGCCTCCAGAGAGCAGGGGAAGGGTGGGGTGGTCTCTGCTCTCCCCCCCCCACCCCCGTGCAGCCCCAGAGCATCCCTGTCTTGGTCAGTCAGTTCCCCCACTCCGTGCATGGCAGGCCCCCTCCTCCCTGGGCAGCTGTCCTCTCCCTGCCCAAAAGGGGGGGGCATCATTGTGGAGCTGCTGGGGAGGCGCTCGGTGCCCTACTCCCCCCCTCCCCCCCCCCCCGCCCAAGGCTGCCTGTGGTTTGGCGTGAAGCTGCGAAGGAGGCTCCATTCTCTCCAGATGCCCAGGGACCTTCCTCAGGCTGAGCTTCTGATAGGAGGTGCACACGGGTGGGGGGGGGCACAAACAGGGTTGGCCTTGGGGTCCTACCTCCCCCGCAGGAGCCAGAGGCTGGATTAATGGGAGATCCATAATCTCTTTTTGGGGGGGCGGGGGGGGAGGAACAGGCTTTCCACTCCAAAAGTTAATGGTGGGGGGTGGGCTTTGGGGAATGGTTATTGCGGGTGAGATTTCCCCCCTCCTCTCAGTTTTGGCTGGGGTGGAGCAAAATTCTTCAGGTCAATCTTGTTTTTACACATCCCCAGTTTGGCAGGGTACTGGTGCTCAAATCACAGGGGAAGGGAGCGGAGGGGGGTGGGGTGGGGGCACAGGACATTCCCATACATCCCAGGATGAGAGAAGCTCCCCTCGCTTCACCCTGGTAATCCAAGCATGGGGGGGGGGGAGTGGGGAAGAATCCCTCCAAGATGTAAAAGCTTGGGAAGGTTTTCTTTCTTGGGGGGCCTCAGGGCCACGAACCATATGGCCGGCCGCCAGGCGTTTTCCCACAGGGTGACCTGGGAGGAACAGCGGAGGGAGGCCTGGGGAGGGGGTGGGGGCTGCTCCTCCTCCTCCAGTGGGACAGCCAGCTTCAGGCAGGCTCTTGAAAGCAGCTGCCTCCCTCCAGCTGTCTGGCTCAAAGGCAGCAGCCCCTCCCACCCACACTGCTCCTTGGCCTCCTCAGCCCCCCCTCCAAAAAACAGAACTGCCCTTGCTTCTCTCCCTGCCCCCCCCCCGCCCCCACCTCCAGCAAGCAGAGAAGACAGAAGTGGAGCAAAGAGGCCTTTCCTGCCCAAACTGCCTGGAGGTCCCCCAAAATGGCCGGGGGTGTTATTTTTTATCTTATTTTGAAACTTTTTGTATTAAAGAATCCCACCTGTTTGTATTATATAATAAATAACAGAGCTAGTAACATAATACCCCACTGCAGAGCTTGTATCTCTTATGGGGGGCCGGAAGGGCAGAAGCGGGAAGAAACAGAAAGGTGAGGAGGGGGCTGGTGGTGCCTGCAGGTCACACACACCCTGGGGTTTTGGTGCTACCAGGGCCAATTTTCTGGTTTGGTGTGCCAGGACATATTGTGGTGCCAACTGATGGTGCCGCTGGTGTTGCTACTGCCAATGGTGGCCACAAACGCGGCTGGGAGTCGATCACATGCCCAGCCAGGCACTGGTTTCTTCGGCTCAGGCCTGGCCCCTTCCCCATTTTAGCCCCGTGTCGAGGGACCCTTCAGCCCGACTCAGGAGCGCCAATGCGTCCCGTAGGAGAGGGAGGCACCCCGGCCGGCCCGACCCTCCCGCAGGGCCAGAGGGAACACAGCCGGCGGGGGTCGTGGCCTCTGAGTCCGGGGTTTAACCGCAATTGGAACCCGAGGCGGGGTGGCGGCGGTAAGGCCTCAAGGCAACGGGCCCGGGACCTCGCTATGCCTTCTTAGGGGGCCCCGAGCGCAGAAGTCCCGCTTCTCCGCCGAGCTGCGAACGGCCAAGCGGCGGGGCGGAAGGAGAGGAAGCCGTGGCCGTCGCGTGAGGCCGCGGAGGCGCGTCGGTCGCCTTTTGCAAAGAGATGCCCGCGGGCGACTGCCCCCCCCCAGCCCCGCCTCTCCCCGTGAGGGTGTCTGGCCCCCAAACCTGCAGGGCTCTTGGACGACCCGCCGCCGGGACGCTGCTGCCCAGCGGAGGGGAGGTCGCCGGGATGGCCGTCGCTCAGCCGGCGGCCTTCGTTGAAGGAGTCGGAGGGCGAGTTGCTGCTGACCCCCGGGAGCGGGGCTGCCGGTCAAGCCTTCGCCCGGAGGGCAGCAGGAGGTTCCCGGGGCCAAGACGCGGGGCAGCAGCTCTTCTCGGCCCACGCAAGAGACGGAGGGGCGCTGCTCTGCCCGCGGCTTGGCCTCGGGGATCAGCGACCGGCGGCGGCGGCGGCGGCGGAGACCGCGGGGCTGCCCCTTGGCCCCAGCTAGCTCACGCCTGGAAGCGCTCTGCACATGCTCGGGAGCAGCCGCTTGGCGGCCGACCCAGCAAGCCCGGCTTGCGGCTTTAGCGGTCTCTGCTCCGCGCCGGGCCGAGACTCCCGCCCGCCCGCCGGCTAGAGCCGCTCCACGGAAGCCGCGCTGCAATCGGCAAGGAAGGGCGGCTTCTTGCACCAACGCCATTTACAGTCAGATTGACTCCCTCTCCCATTTTTTCAATATCCCCAAGCCTCCCTCCCTCCCACCCTTTGGAGGCGGGTCTCCCAGCTGTCAAACGCATGGCCTTGTGGGAGTTGTAGTCCTCCCGTGACAGATGCCTGCTTCCCACCCCAGCGGGTAAAGCGCTTGCAAAGGAAGGAGGGGAAAATATTAATGCCAAAAAAGTGTCTGTGTGTGTATGTGGAGGAGAGAAGTCTTCTGTGAGACCGAGACTACATTCCCCATGGTGCATCGGGCTCAAAGGAGCTGGACTGTGATTGGCCCCCCTTGCTGCAAGCTGCTCGAGAATGAATAAAATTGTACAGTATATTCCGATGTGAGAGGTAAAAAAGGGGGGGGGGCTGGGAAAAAGAAAAAGAAAGAGAGAAAAGAAAGGGGGGAATCCGTGGCTTCTCCCACCAGCCCAGCCAGGCTGGGTGAGGCATTTTCCTCCCGTATCAAAATGGCCACAGCTGTGCACAAGTCTATCAAATGGTGAGTGCCCCACATCTGGGGGGGTGGGGTGGCACGATTCCCCGGCAGGCACGAGGGGCAAGGATGCAAAATGGGGGGGAGGGTATGGCTGGAGTCTCCCTCCCCTCCCCTCCCTCGCGCGACGGGGGCTCAGCCGTTCCGGCAGCTGCTCTTGGCGAGAGGGGGAGGGGCAGGTGGGGGGGAGAGGCTCAGTCTGCCTGGTTGCTGGCCGTACAGATGGGCACGGGGAGGGCACTTGGGGCTGGAAGGGGTGGGAGGCATCTGAGAGAGGCTCCCGCGGGGATGTGACTGCGCGTTCGGCGGATCGGCACCAGCGTGGGCTGGGTCTCGGCGTCCTTCCCGGTGTCCCGCGTGGAGGTCCGTAGCCACGCGTGTTGCATGAGGGTCAGCGGCACAGGGGTGCCCGAGGAAACAGGTGCCGGCCGGGGCTCTCCCCACCCATGACGCGACGGCGAGCCGAAGCAGCAGGCGGCCCGGCTGCCGGGGTGGGGTCCGCTACTGCTCTTTCCCCCATTGTTCGGTGCGGAGTTGCTCAGCCTCCCGTGGGAGGACCTGAAGGCATCCCGCATCCCCGTTCGCTTCTGGGCCGGGCCAGCAGATGGGCAGAGGCCAGTTTGATGCCATGCCCCAGCCGGTGCCTTCGAGCCGGGACGTTGCCGGGCCAGGACCAAAGTCTCCGGAGCCCCTCTGGGAGGGGTCTCCCGGGCTGCTTTCCCAGGGGAGGGGGCTCTTCCAGGGGCAAACGGTCTCCTCCTCCTCAGCCCTTGGGTCCCGGCCCAGCCGTGGCCATCGCCTCTTCCTCTTGGGGACCAGCGCTGTTTTTCCTGGACGGGGGGAGGGGACGGGGCGTCCCATGCCGGCCGCCTCTAGGGGCGCGGGGTCCCTCCGCGCTGCAGCCGGCGGTGGCTTTCTCCAGCCTCTCCGGGGAATCCCTGGAGCCGCTTTCCCGGCTCCCGGCAGCTCTGGCGAGGGCTGCTGTGTGAGCCGCGCTGGGCGACCGGAGCGACCGAGGCGTGCTGGTTGAGGGCCCGGCCTTCTTCTGCAGCCTGGGCGAGGATTTCTACCGAGAAGCCATCGAGCACTGCCGTAGTTATAACGCCCGCCTGTGCGCCGAGCGCAGCATGCGCCTGCCGTTCCTGGACTCGCAGACAGGGGTCGCTCAGAACAACTGCTACATCTGGATGGAGAAGACCCACCGGGGCCCAGGTGCGGACATGCCCGCTGGGCACTGTACGTAGTGCTGACTCTTCCCCAGGGTCCACAAGAGCCGAGTGTCTAGCTTGGGGGGAGGAGAGAGAAGCACAAACTCTGACTTCATGAGGACTAGGAGCCCGTAGGTGGGCATCTCCCCGGGGGGGGGGGGGATCAGTTCTGCTTCCTAAGTCCCCTGGGCATCAGGATGGGCTAAGTTCAATGGTGGAATAAGAGCAGAGAGAAATGAAGCCTGCCTTTAAGGCATCCCCCCCCCCATGCCAAATGCCATGCCAGGAGGGCACAGCAATCCATCTGCCCTTCAGCTTCCCCTCAGATGCATGAGGCTGCTCTGGCAACCTTCAGGTGCCAGGGGAGGGAGGATTGCCCCCTACATTCCCAGCCAAATTGAGGAAAGATTGTGGGTGATTCACCCCATCTCTCCTGCAGGCCTGGCACCTGGTCAGATCTACACCTACCCGGCTCGCTGCTGGCGGAAGAGGCGACGGTTGAACATCCTGGAGGACCCACGGCTGCGGCCCTGTGAGTTCAAGATTGGTAAGGAGCTGGGGGGCATTGCCCTGGACAGGTGCCTTGTCTCGGGTGGGCTTTCTCTGCAGCTCCCTGGCAAATAATGGCTGCTGGGATTCTGGGGGGTGGCGAAAGATGCCAGTTGCCAACCAAATAAAACAGACCCAATTTGGGAACTAAATGGGGAACTAGAAAGACCAGGTCAGAACTTGGTTTTGAATCAGGGTTTATGGAAAGACACATCAAGCGCTTGCCAGGTAGGTGGGCAGATTATTTGCTTATTAAACAAACTTACTTACGGAGCCGCCCATCCCTCAGAAGGAGCTTCGGGAAGCCCACAAAATTAAAACAGCTGCAATGAGGAGGCCCATCGGGAACCGTTGCCTTCCTCACGACATGAAAAGAGGCCCCTTCCTGCCCTGTGAAATTGCTGCCTGCGGTCTCTGGCCTCCCATTTTGCACCGGTTGAGATGACCCTCAGGGCTTGCAAAGC